ACCTGAAAGGGAAGGAGGGAAGTGGTTGCTTATTGGAAAAAAAAAAAAAAAAAAAAAAAAAAAAGCTTGCTTTTTTTTTTTTTTTTTTTTTTTTCCCACATTTTAAGTACAGTGTGATGCACTACCACCAAACCATGGAGATGAAAACTCCCCTGTATTTAAATAAAAAAGAATATCTTTGAAACTACATGAATGGTTATACACATGGTTACACTGTTTATGACTATGTGTCCATGTGTAATGGGTTTTATCAGGATGACTGGAGATGGAGCCTCTCCAGAAACTCCCTGCTGTTTGCAGCTTTGTATTAATTGGTTGCAATTGCCCAATGTAAATGCATCAAATCCTCCAAAGAGATATGGCAGAAAAATGTAATAGCTATCATCAGGGTAACTATTCTTTCAGTTTACTGTCATAATAGCCTTGTGGCAGAAACATGATTAATTGTTGCCCATACTTAGCCTGTATTTCAAGTATACCCTTGCCCTAATTCTTTCCTTCAGGATTTCACAGTTACAAGTACTTTAATTCGTACCTGTTAAACAGAAGTGACATTTCTTAATTCAGAATTTTAAAAGTATTTAGTACCTGGATGAGCTGTTGTCTACAATAATGCTTGAATCAGTTTGTAGGAAGCATTTTTGCACCAACAAATTGAGGCCACAAAACTGAAACTTGTCCAGGCTCCCTGCCTTGTGCTTAGCCCAGCAAAGTGGAGCAAGGCAAAGGAATATTTGCCATGAAGCAAAGGAATAAGACAGTTAAAAACTGTACTTACTAGTAAAGACTAGAACTGATTACAGAGAAGAGAATGGGATTGACTCACAACTTTAATAACAATGGAGGAAATAGGTTAAAAGAAGTTAAATTTCAAACCAAGGACAGAAGAGTTTGTTTACACCTTCTGATGTTCCTCAACCTTTTTCAACCAAGAATTTGACCAATAGCTAACAAACCATTTTTGTGGTATTGCCACAACAATTTCCTCTAAAGACAAATAGAATTAGGATAATCTTCCAGTGGTCATATTATTTCCTCCAGTTCGGTTGCTTGCTTGTTCAGTGTGTGACGATGTGATTGCAGATAGCTCACAAAGCTATTTTCAATTATTTTCCAGACCAGTTCCTGAGTTCTCATAGATCATCAATTATCCACGTGGTTTGAAAAATACAGTTCTACTGAATAATTTTTTATTTATGATTGTGGGGGAAATGCCACCCAAAATTCCTTAATATCACCAGCTCTCTGCATTAACACAATATTTTTATCCCCCCTTAGCAATGTTCCACACAGGATAGACTGTGACTAGTTGCTCTTTACCTGGATGGAGGGAGCTGTGCCATAGCTGCAAAGGTTCCAGCCTTTCTAGGGGCCCTACATAACTGTTAAGATTCTACATAAGGAAGTATCTGTTAGGGGGGTAAGAAGAAAAGAAAGAGAAAGTTGGCTTGCTTCTTTAGTGAAAAAAGAGAAACACAAACACATGCAAAGGTAAATGAAATAATAGAATTAATAGGCTGAAATGTTACTGCGCAACCTTAAATTTTACCCTCTTTGAAAATAGAAATTGTTACAGTTTTTATGTACAAAGCAAATGCTTCCTTCCTTCCTTCCTTCCTTCCTTCCTTCCTTCCTTCCTTCCTTCCTTCCTTCCTTCCTTCCTTCCTTCCTTCCTTCCTTCCTTCCATCCTTTGTTTTTCTTTCTCTCTCTCTCTCTCTCTTCCTCTTTCTCTCTTTTTCTTTCTTCCTTTCTCTCTTTCTTTCCTTTATTTCTCTCTCTCTCTTTCAAAACAGGCATATTGAACAGGCAAATTCAATCTCTAATGAGTATGAAATGAAGGGAAAGTACTGTGTGCATGCTGAATGAATATTTTCCCACAATTTGTATTTTTGGAAATGAAATGCATCTGCTTCTTCTTCAAACCAGCAGAGGGAGTTTTCTCATCTAAATAGTTTTTTAACTTCTGAAAGAGAAAACTTTTTTTTCTTTTCTTTTCTTTTTGTAGTAATGTTATCTTACCTCATAAAAACTGTTACAGAAGATGAAAGGTGAAATTTTACAGTCAAGACTTTTTAACTCCTTAGTGCTAAAGGCTGTATGCTCCCATGCAATTTTTATGGGTATAGTTATGCAAGAAGTTGTTGTTATGATAAACGCAATAGTGTTAAAAGCATAAATCTGGACTGTTTGGGAAGAAACTATTTGGTTAAAGGGCAGTGCACAATTATTGCAGTACATGTGCTATTCAGATGGACATGGGACATTAACTTGATAGCAACTGACATGATTTTGTTCACAAAACAAACAAAACAAAACAAAATAACAACAACAAGAACAACAACAAACAGTTCCTATAATTTCTTGCCCTTTAGGGAGAAGTTTTGAAAGTTTTAAGTTCAGGTTTCTTAATCTGGAAGCAATGCAGTAATTTTACGATTCCCACAGTGGCACAAAATATTTCAAGTGAAACGTTCACTGTAGCACTAGGAAGGGAGCCTATCATTATATATTCCTAGTTGTTTTTTGTTTGTTTGTTTTCTGTGAGGGAAAAAATAAACATCTCTAGTGATGACAGACCGTATCATTCTTATTTTATTTCATAAGTTTACATAACAACCTCTATGCAATGATCTTCCTTGTAAAATAAAATTATAGTAGTTACTATGTGTGTAATTAAATATTTTCTTGATCTGTGAATGTCACAACAATTCATCTCTCAAATGCAAGCAATACATTCTGTTATTCCACTAAACTCAACCACAAAGAATTTAAAATGCTCATCTTTCATTTGTTTCAAAAGTTTTGTTGACTAAATTCCACCTAGGATGAAAATAAGTGCAGTTATTTTGAGGAAACTTATTGCATTGGAAAATAATGTGAAACGAATATGTGTTTTTATGCATATTGAATTCCCCAGAGTCAGAATACTGGGGCTCTACATTCATCTTGAACTGAAAGAAACGACTGAATAAAAAGCGAAAACTAGCTCTAGGTCTATCAATTTAACACCAAGACTGACAGCATAAATACCAATCATTCCATAATATCCATGTGAAAATGGCTAATAATCTGTTTTCAGCCTTTGTAAAAGTGGAAAGTGAGGAAAGAAATTCAGCGTAGGTGAATTAGGGTGTAATGATTGATAAATAAATACTGCTTAGCAGTTGAACCGTGATAGCAGTTACTAGCTTAGCACAGATGTATTTTCCTCACATGTACCATAATTGCCAACTCACATAGGAACACTAAATATAGGCTCCTAATGCTGCTTTAAGTTACACGTGAGCAGACATGTAAAAACTTTTTTTTTGAAAAACTCACAGCTATGAAGTGTTGACAAACTCAGCGAAGCATGACCAGACACGTGCGAAGGGCCAGCTGTAGGCACTGGTGAAACAGAAAACTGCACCAGGCATTGGTGGATATGGCAGAAAAGGAGACTTTTGGGCTCAGCAACCACAGCGGCTCCTTCAGCAGCCATCCCATTTCCTTCTCAGTGCTACTGGAAAGGAGACAGTCTGGAAACACAGGGCTGGCTAGATGCTGGTGAAGTATGGTCAGAGTAGCTGGGCTCTGAGTAAAATTCAGTTTTGTACTCAGGCAGCTAAGAGTTTTCAGGGTGATCCAAAGGAAAAAGTGACCCTTAAATTATTTGGAAAGAGCTTCCAGAAAGAAGGTTACACAGAGCTTCTTCAACTCTCTGCAGAAGTGTACATTGCAAATATTTTATTTATCACCTCTTGTACAGTCACACCGAGCCTTGAGGCAGGTCTGAAAAAGTTAGAGATGGGATCAAATATGGGATCAAATTTACAATTCATCTTGTCCTTTATCCTTATTTAGCATGTAGTTCTTCAGAAGTGAAAAACAAATGTCCACCTAAAGAGAAGAGAGATGAGGATAATTTGCCACCATGAAAGTTATTTTCTAAATTTTTGTTGGAATTGACTTCAGACTCTAAGGATGACAACACTGCAACTTCTTCAGGGAAAATCTCACAATGACTTGTACATTTCCATTTCTGCCGTTGGAAGAAATGGAAGCACAGTCTGCATCAAAATAGGGTGAAGGAGATCAGACATCCTACTATGATATGCTACAGGCTTGTTTACACCCATATACTCCACATTGTGCTTCAGTACTCATCTGACTCACTTTCTGCTTCTATGCCCCGAGGAAGATGCTAAGCAAGGGCTGACTCCTGGAAATACTTGGCATTCTTTTTAGGCTAATTTTGGCACCAGCTTGGCTCCAAGGGCTCTCGAGCCATTCACACAAGGATGTCTGTGGCAAGGAAGATGGAGAATATCAATTTCGGAGCCCTGCTGTGTTCTACTCCCTGATTTTCACCAAAACCACACCGTGTTTACTTGTCCTTTTGGCCTTGGGGTCACTGGTTTTTCTTTAAATCGGCTTAGCTCTAAGTAGTCGTTTTCACCCTTCCTGCACTTCCCGCAAAAAAACCCTAAACAGTGGCAGCCTGATGCCATCGTGAATACTTCTTTCTAGAAATACATCTACTTCCCTCCTTTCTACAAATACATCTTACTAAAAACAAACCGCCCTAAACCACTGCAAACCAATGCCCAATCCCACACACGCTCCAAGCTAAGAAAGGGGACTTTCACCCCAAAAAAGTGAGGAGCAGCCTGGGATGGGAGCGGGTGTACCCCCAGGGGGCTTGGAGGAAAGACCTCAGCCCTACGACCCCACAGCCTGCCCCTCGCTGTGCGTGTGGGTTGCCCAAACCCGCTGTTTTTTGGGGTAAGAACTGAGGGGGGGGGGTGGGGGGAGAGTCTGTGTGGAGGGGACGGCGGCGGTGACGTCACCCTGCCTGGCAACAGCGGGGAGGACGGCGGTGACGTCACCCTGCCTGGCAACCGCAGCAAGCGTGGGGAGGAGATCTCGCGAGATTTGCTCCCCCCCGTCGCTGGTGGAAGGGGGTGAGGGGGGGGGGCGGTGCCGCCTGTGGCGGAGCTCGCCTGAGGCGGGCAGCGGGGAAAGGGGGGGGGGAAGGCGGCGACGGGACGGGACGGGACGGGACGGGACGGGACTGATTCGCCCCCCCCGGCCCCGCAGCAGCCCCACAGCGCCCTCAGCGGCCCGCATGGAGCCGCCGTGCCCGGTTTGAGCGAGTACGGCGGGACCCGCAGCCGCCGAGCCCCGCCGGGCGGGCGGGCGGGCGCAGCATGGGTGAGCGAGGCTGAGGGGGTAAAGGGGGGGGGGACACGATTTGTCTGGGGAGGTTTTGGGATTTACAACCCCCAAAAAAGGGGAGAGGAGCGCGCTGGAGATGGGTGAGGTGCAAACGTGTTGGGGCAGGGGGCGAATGCCGGCGGAGAGGTGGGTTTGTGTGGGGCTGGGTCGGCGGCAGGTGGGAGAAGGAGCGGCTTTTGGGGTGGGGGGGGGCTCTGAGGGGGTCCTGGGGGGGCTGTGAGGGGAGTAGAGGGGTCCTGAGTGGTCCTAGGTGGGTCCTGAGGGAACGGGGGTGTCTTGAGGTGTCTCTGGGGGGCTCTGAGGGGAACGGGGGGGTTCTGAGGGGAGTCTGGGGTACGGGGTGGCTCTGAGGGGAGCTGGAGGGTTTTGGGGGGGATCTGAGGGGAACAGGGGGTCCTGAGGGGAATGGGAGGCCTCTGAGGGGAGCGGAGGGGCCCTGAGGGGAGCCTGTGGTCCTGGCGGGTTCCTCAGGAGGACTCTGAGGGGAACGGGGTCCCTGGTGAAATCATGAGGGAAATGGGGTTTCCTGAGGGAAATGGGGGCTGTGGAGCCACAGAGTCCCGCATTGCCACCGGCTGCTCGGTGGAGGAAGCAGGAGAAGAGTAAAAGCGGCTCTGGTCAAACCCAGCTGCTCTGAGGTGGTAGGGTTTTGTTGTTCTGTTTTCCCCCCCAGCTAGGTTTCAGCTTCACCCATTTTTCCACCAAGGTGTTCGTTAAAAAAAAAACAACAAAGGTGCAGCTGCTTGAGATAGCTGTATTTTTATAATGTGCCAGATCAGGTTTGTGCTGGAAACAATCGGCTGCGCTCAGCCGAACCCATAACTTTACAGTGTTTGCACAGGGACAAATGAAGGGGTGTTTTAAATGCTGCTCATCAGGCTCCTATATTTTTATTCCAACACCCCCCAATTTCCATTGTGCATCGTCTCTGTCTCGGTTACCCTCATTTATATGACATTAATTGCTCACTGCACTGCCCTGTACGATTTTAGCCGCTGAATGTTCTTGTGGGGTTGTGCACGGTGGTAGCTTGCTTGTTTTGTGCCGGAGGTGTGTGTGTACGTCGGCTGCTGCGTGCAAGTCTGCCACATTGACGAGCACGGTTTAAGCTTTTTTAAGTGGAAGCAAAGTTGTTTTTGCGTAGCTTTTCTTCCTCCTCCTTGTGTATAAATAGAGGGGAAGAAGTGCATGGCGTGTGAATCAAATGTGTGGTTAGTGAAGCGATACGCGCTTCTCCTGACTTGTGTTTCTTGGGATTATAAGGAAGTGATTTCATTTGTTTTCTATTGCAAAGTAATTTGTATTGAAAGCATGCTTAAAATGAGGTCTGAAAATATAAAATGAGATCGTTATTGCAGGCTCTGACATAAACAGAGCTTTAATAAATCACTTTTTCATGGTTCAGAATAGGTAGGAGTTATTATTTTGTACTTTCTGAGCTGCATTGTCATACTCGCAAGAAGTGTTTACATCAGTCATTGCGGTAGACAGCGCTGGCACTGCCTATAATGCAAAGGTTTAGTATGCTAATTAAATGTTTTGAGCCCTGTGTAATGTTGCGATGTGAAATATCTGGGGGTTTCCATAGAGTAGGTCCGAATTATTAAAAGTATTAGTGTGCAGTTGGGAATATTGTCCAAGACTTTTAATAAAGGTCTTGGTCTGGTTTTCAGGCTGTACAACCTTGGTTGATGTATTTTTTTTTTCTTTACTCTTCCTTACGTATGTCTTCTCTCTCTGTCTTTTCTGATTACAGTAGCAAGCACGTTATTACTGCTCCATAGGTGGCTGAATTGAGTGGGTCCATAAACTGTGTCAAGTATTGTTACTGCGTGGGTTATTATAACCATAACAATTTGTGTGCCTGTGCAATTACGTTAGAAGTGCTTCTGCCAGAACGCTGGCAAATGTCTGCAAATGATTATAGCAGGATCCCAGAGCCTTTTAAATAGGGTTTTCTCTCAAGGTCTAATCCTTTTATTCAAAATCTCAAGCCTTACATTCTTCTGACTGAAAAATGGGGAAGAATATACATTAAAACATCTCCAAAAATGAGAGTGAAAAAAGACCTAACTTTAGTTGGCACTACGCTAGCTATATTTAGTGATGGCTTTGCGTTTATTCTGAGAAGCCATTATTTAATTACTTTATTACTGACGTCATGGTAGAGCTGGCTCTTGATAAGAGATTGTTTGTCTTTTATGCCAGCCTCTGAAGGAGGTTTTGTATGTCAGGGATGCCTTGGAGGAAATCATGGAGGTATTTGACAAATGCATGGTTTTCTAAGATTCGTGGGGAAGTACCAGAGGGGGAATATGATTTGGAGGAAACCAAAAGTGGAAGAACAGTAATACCAAGTGCCTTGAAACAGGGACTTTCATTTCCAACATTATAAGAACATAAATGTTGCAGGAGCATGTGAACGATGGCAAGGAGGAGGAAGTTATTGGTGGTGACAAACACAGACTGTGTAAAGCCACTGATGATGCCCTGTTATGTGATTACTCTGTCATTATAATTTTTTGCCTTCTGTACTACATTAATCATGAGGATTCGATATGTGGTTCTACAAATAGACGAAAAGTAGATGAATCTAAGGGAAAAATGTTCAGATGTTCTGAGGAAAGATCTTTTTATTGATTGAATCGTCTGTTTGCCACCCGGGGTTGACAACCATTTAGAGGGAGGCAGAGTTGCATCATGACATCTTTCCTGTTTATTTCTATGGCTGGATAGCAGCTAATTTTCCTAATTATAGTTGAGAAATGAGACGATTATATAACTTGGGCATTATCAAGAAGATTGAGCTGAATTTGCAGTGTACAAATAATTTTTGTATCTCTTCACAACTAAGAATGAAATATTGTAGCAACAGTTGATACTCTACTGCAGTGATACATTGAAATTTCATGGACTTTTGCTACATGCAGTTTTACCCTTTTTTTCCTTTACTTCATTGGCAAAAATCAGTGCTGACAGATTTGTGGTTCCCAAGAGTTAATATATCTGAATTTGGTGCACTTCATCTTTGGAAAACTTTGTGTAATACTTAAAGAAGCTGGACACGCTTCTTCACTGCTAACAGAACGAATACAAATATGAAACAGTTTCTGTAGACCAAATATATTTATAATTTCATTGATCATTAAACTTGCATGAGGTCTTTTGCTTTCTTTACCTTCCTATTGCAACAAAAAAAATCTAGTTTTTTTTTTTTTTTAAGTAGACTGAATGCTTTTAATGTATTATCACAGGGGACAGTGAGAGGTTGAATATTCACTAGCAGCATTACAAGAACTAATAAAACATTACTACAATGCTTGTTCTTGTAACTGGTGAAGAAAAAAGAGTATGAGTCCTTCAGTGAGTATTTTTACTGAGAAATATGTTAGATGCAGCGTGCGGTTGAACTTTATTTACAGTAAGCTACTGAAGAATAAAATGACTTAATCAGAAGTCCAAGATATTGCTAAATGCAGCAGCTTGTCTGTGTTAGGGTTGTTGCTGCATGTAATGTTGACAGGTCGGCTGGCAATGTTGAGCAAAGTGCTTTCTTATCATTTTTTGTATTCTAGACAAAACTATAAGGAAAAACAAGGGAAAGTTGACCTTTGGAACAGAAATGTCTAAGCTCCTACAGTCTGCTGCCCTGTGGCTGGAAGAAGTTGGTGGTTACAGGGTTTGTGTCATGGTGGAGGAGAAATCCCATGAAAGCCTGCTAGAGGCTGTTGGCTTGGCTCATGCCTGTTTCCCTCCATCCCCAAAAGAAAGAAAACGAAAGAGCTGAAGCACTGTCTGTGGTAGGTTTATGAAAAGGATATGTAAAGCAGGTCAGCTGTGGGATCTTCTCCATTTTCTGGCATCACCCATTGCCTGGCTATTACTAATTTATGGACTTTCTCAAAGGTGTTGGCAAGCAATTGGTAACTTTGGGACTTCTTGAAAGGTGTTTGGAGTTTGACTGAATCTTGTAACCCATAGTGACAGACCATCAGGGACTTGCACAAGTAGGGCTGGGAGGAATGTGGCTCGTGCCCTCCACAGCTTCCTGCGGCAGTGAGAGTATTTAACATGAATGGGGTGTGTGTGTGTGAGGGAATGCTTCCTGTCTGTGTGCATTTTTCCCCTCTCTCCCCTAAAGCTGCTTTCTAAGCCTGAAGTCTCTGTATTTCTTAGAAATTGCAGATTGCTTGCTTGCTGACCTCCTTATAGTTACCTTGCAGGTTTGGTTTTGATCCCCTGGAGCCGTTTGTCTTTCAGACTGAGAAATCTTCATGCCTTTATTTTCCTCCTGTGTGAGGAAACACACACATGCTGGTCATCTTTGTGTGTTTTTTAATTTTAATTTTTAAGTTTTGATGCCACTTTAATCTTGCGAAGAGATGTTAGAGATGTTTTGTTCGAGACTAACTCCACACAGGGACGTAATTATATTTGCTGCCTCGGTTTTCTTTTGTTTTCCTAGCAGTTCTTAGTGTTTTGTTTCAGTTAGATAGTATCTTGCCTTTGAAGTCTCCTCACCTTTGCTGACCTCCTTGGCTCTGTTGTCTCCCTGTGTTAGCTTTTTAGTGTCTTTTGGTTGCATGCACACACAAAATACGTGGTTGGGTATGCCGTGCTGTCTGGAGCTAAGCTGGGTGATTGCTCCAGTCCGTCCCTGTCTGGCTGTTGGTGCTGAGCTCTTCTGTCACTTCTATTTCCGCAGAGACACTATCGCATGTGACTGCTTGCACAGTAGTTCCCTAACCCAGTTTCATAAAAGTGACTTATTAGGAAAGAAGAGCAGTAGAAGTGCCTAAAGTGACTCAGGTCAACTTGACAGAAGTAGATATGATGATCAAATGATTTTTTTTTAACTTTTTTTTTTTTTTTTTTTTTTGTTAGTGGATCTGGAGTATAGCTATTTCTAGCAGAAAGCTGGTGGCTGAGAATGGCTGACCTGTAGCTAATAGATGGTGTCTGATCTGTGTTTGCAA